AAATCCCTTTCTGGATATTCCTCAATGCCCCGGCTATTCACGGAACGTGAAAAGCGAATGAATAATCATCTGCTTCCGGAAGAAAGCGAAGAATTTTTTTGGAATCTTACAAGAGCCATTCGTTCTTTTTTCTCTGACAGATGGTCAGAACTTCATCTGGGTTCGAATAAATTACTTCTTTTCAATTTTAATGAAAAAATAATAATGAATAAACAGATCACCTTAAAAAAACAAGGTTTTCTACCATCAAACGAAAATAAATTCCTTTCAAACCTTTCCATCTGAAGTTGATTCTATAGGTGCAGTTGCAGTTCTAGCTCTTTCTTTAGTTGCTGGAGATGTAATACGACTAGCATCAAGCCTTCCTTCTTCAGTAATAGTTCCAGTGGAGGAAGAAGAAGAGCAGATCGCTTCATCCCGCGCAAGGCGCGGGTCTTATCCTAGTACTTAATAAATGTTATGCATATTGATAGACAATCCATTAAAACTGTAATTAAAAAATATTGACCATTATTCAATTAGTCATTAATAATATATTGATACAGTATTTTATTTAGTTCGAAAATAATATTGTATTTAAATTTATTTATTATACTAAATACTAATATATCAAGTTATTGAAATGTACATAATTTGCAATATAATATGTAGGAATAATGTTAGTTTTAAAGTTGTTGCTCTGTTTTAATAATATTAGATTCTCGAAAATGGATATGTACGATTTGGTAAGATTGGATCCTAAAGAATACGCTGATGTTCAAATCATTCACGATTAAACAAATAATTTTTAAGGTAGTACTAAAAAAATTAAACAGAAGATAAAAAGTTTCCAAATATTAAAATAAGTGGACATCATTATAAAGTTTTTTAGATATTAAAGTTTTTGTATAGAAAAAGATCTTGTTGATAACAACTTTTTTGAATGAATATATAGTTTGCAATGAAATCTTAAATATGCTTTATATAGATGTACGACTGGAAATTTTTTATTTATTTATATGTTTTCCAATTTTTCTTTAGTTGTTAAATGAAAAAAAATTACCATATCTAGTTACGTTTTTGTATATTTTGTTTGCAAGCTAGAAATAGCTTTATTTTCAGAATAAACCGATCATCAATAAAATATATGCTAAAATCTGGTATACAACATCACTACAATGTATAGATTATAGAATAATAACATTCTTGATTTATAAAGTTAATATAAATTTTGTTGGCATCGATTTGTCTAGTGTATGAATTCAAAATATGAACATGTCGATTTAGTATGGTGGTTTAGTTAATTTTTTAGATGGTTAATAAAAATGTCATTAAATATTTTTGTGTAGAATATTTTAATACATAAAATAGAAAGTTGATAAAAATAATTAGGGGGATATGATTACGAAAATCTGTTGCATTAATCACTCAATATTAAGTTGTTAATACTACATTAATGGGAATATTCCTTTGCTTAGTTCAAATAAATAATATAAAAATTAAACTAAATGTTAGAGGCATACATCGTAAATAACTTAAAAATTAATCGCAGAATTTTAATAGAAATTATGTTCTAATAGAATAGATAAAACATTTTAAAAAGTTACTGATAAAATATATATCCATACGAAAATAGTTTTGGGTATTAAAAAATACTCTTGAAAAAGTTAAAGAAGACAATTGTAAAAAATACACCCTTCAAAATTCAAAACTAAAATTATGAACTAAAAGAAATAAAAACATTTCTGGTGAGTGCAAATTTATAACGACACTCTTTCTTTTTAAAAATATTTATGTTGAGGTCGAACTTCTGACAATACTCTATTATATCTTTAAATATGTTTAAGTATGAAATTAATATATTAATGATTTAAAGTTTTATTAGTAAAAAAATTAATTCTAAAATGGATTAATGAAAATGATTAATTTAGAAATGGATTAATGAAAATGATTAATTTAGTGGCGTTGAACTATATTTTACTAAAAACAATATCTAGAATTAATGAAAAAGGTTCACGTGTATGCATGGGCTTAATTAAGCTACCAAACTACTCAGCACGAGGCCCATAATATATGTGAGCCGGGCCTGACAACCATAAACTCAGATACACATAAGCAATATGAGTTGCTAACCGTACCAGAACGTGGCAGGTTTTTTTTTTGTCACAACAACATGGCAGGTAGAAGAGCATCTGCATCAGTGTATCCTTGGGATTCATGTTTTTAATTTTTATTATTATTTTTTTTACTGTTGATTTTAAAATAAAAATAAATAATAATAATCAAATAAATCGTTGGTCGACACTTGTCGTGAACAGTGTTGAACTCGTTGGAAAGAGATTCACTAGGAAGAGTTCGGAAGAGATGGGATTCAACATTATTCATTATTTTAATATTTTTTTTTGGAAATATGTGTGAATTCCATGAGGATTCACTAATACAGATGCTCTAAGAGACGGGTTTCATTGGACTATTTCTTCGTTTGCAGGTGGTTACTTCTAACATGGTTTTATTTAGAAAAGTTTTTAATATAATTCAATTTTATATTCCTTTTATAAAACATGGCTGATGGCAAAAACAAAATATGGCAAACATGGCTGATGTCAAAAACAGAACATATTAACATGCCTAAAATGACAACTAAAATAAAATGGACAGAATATTAGTTTAAAAAGTAATAATGACAACTAGTTGCAATAAGCTTAATTGATTAAAGATAATTATCTAATTGTTTATTATGAACATTAATGTAAACGCAACATGTAAAACAAAATCTTTAAATACTATTATAAAGATAAGAAGCACGTATAAACAAAAATATGTGATTGATGTTGAAAAACATATGTTTTTAATTGAAAGATGATCATAAATAATGCCGTATAATTATAATATTTCTCAGATATATATTAGTTCTATGCTAACGTTTTCAAAACCTAGTTCGTTGCTAACGTTGCATGAAATATGGATCATACTTACATTGTTGGCTCTGCTGAATTTTTTTAATTCATAATTTTGGCTTATACTGGTGATATTTTCCGAATATCCTTTTACCAAAAAAATTGAATAACTGATGGTAGTGAGAAATGGATTTACCTATACTG